TTACATGTGTCTAAGGCTCGATTACCTATCTGCACCCATGTGTGTCATATGTGATAGTTTCCGAGACATGTGTGTGTGGGTGTGTGGTGTGTGGTGCGTGGTGTTGTGTGTGTGGTGTGTGTGTCGTGTGTAGCTGTGTCGGCTGTCGGTGGGTGTTGCCTGGCTGGTGTGGTCGGTGTGTCGTGGTGTGTGGTGTGTGCTGTCGTGTGTTGTGTCGTGCTGTGGTGTGTGTGTGTGTGTGTGGTGTGTCGTGTTTGCCGTGTGTGTGTTGTGGCTGTGCTGTGTGTGTGTGTGTGTGTGTCTGTTGAGATGAGCCAGTCGACATTTGCCAGCACTTCTTCAGAAGATCACAACCGTCACCGCCGCTGCTCCACATGTCAGAAGCCTGCGCATTTGACAGCACGGCAGCTCATTAGAGGAATCACAGGGGCGGGGGCGTTAGCGCCTTAAATGCCTAGGGTTGCTGCAGAGCGTGTAGCTGTCTAACCGCTTACACGATAGGAGGCTTGGCAGTCAGTGTTAGGAAATGTTGCGTGTTGTGGAACAGTAACTAAGCTATGTTACTAAGTACTGTAGCCCCTGCTTATTTCCAAATCGTTAGACACCTGGTATATTTTTTCTTTTTTTTTGGCCACTCTACTATCAGTTATATATACATTCAGCAGCTACTAGATTTAGATGAAAGAGCTCAGAGTTGCTGTAAACAATGATATATCTGAAACAATGGGGTAGGGTGCGTTGGATATTTATTAGCCAGATTTTGCTTATCATGCTTTTCTTTGGTGTGTTAATCAAATCACACTCCAGCTTTTAAGGAAATGTAAGATTTGCGCTTATAAATATGGAATTGAATCTTTAATAGTGCCTTCAGTTTTTCTTTGGCGTTGCCTCCTTATACTTTAATACTTTTTCCTGACGAATACTTTTGATAGCTGTTTGATGCTCAGTTCCTAGATACGCTCTTGGCTGTGTTGTATTCCCGGTTCGATAACAGCGTTGTGGATGATTCAGCCTGCGTCAGCTGACAAGCAGCCCGTTTGGACTGCAACAAGATTGGGTGGTTTTGCATTGGACTGCGGGGATGCGCTCCAAGTGCTTCGCCTCTGCGGTGCCCCTCCAGCCCCGCCGCATCGTGTTGCAATTAAGACGAGGATTTAGGAAGCTTTGCATCGCGATCGCCTCGAGTCCTCGATAATTCATTATTATGAGGGCTGTCTTCGATCAGGAGGCTGAAGTGTAAGCTAACATCAGGCCTGAGAGCTGCCGAAGTAACCATTTCCAACAACACGCTTCTTTCTAGACTATTTTCCTGCCTTTTTAAACTTTTTCTCGCCGTGACATACAGGAGACCAATAGAGGGATACAAGCGAGCTGTGTATTTTTTGCTTGTTGGACCCTGATCACTCTCAGCCGTCTAGTTCAT